GATTTCTGCTGCACACACATGCTGGGATGGATTTTTCCTGTAATTGTTTCAGCCATTCATCCTCATTCTCCTCTGTCCCACCTCGTTATAAGTGTTAAAGTATACCTTGAAGTGCAGTCTTGTGGCACTTTATATAACAAGAGCATCACTCACTCCATTGACATGTATAACTTTCTTCCCTTTTCCTCAGTTTGAGACACTACTTCTGGCTATTCCCAGACATGAAGCTGTGTTTCAGCAGTATATAGTGTGTGTGTGTAGGTTTTGTGTGTTTCATAAATGAAGTGCTTTGGAAATAATCGTGGAAGGAGCAGGGTAGCTCACCACTAGAATCTCCTGGAGTTTTTCCTGAATCACCAAATGAGGTAGCCATCTAATCACTTAACAGACAAGTTAGACAGGAAACGCAGGAAGTCAAGACTAACTTTAAGATGGGCTTATTCCTCCAAACGAGAACCTGAACTTATTTCTTCAGCTCTGTGTGAGTACTAAACCACTACCATTTCAAGACATGCTTTATGGATAGAGAAAGCTCTGAAAAGGGCATCAGCTTCAGCCTTCAGATACTCTGCTGACTTGTTTACTTTTGGAGAGACATTTTGATAAAGTACATCTTTTCTAACTGCTCACCTTCTTCAGTTTCTTATTTCTTGTTCTCTTTGATGAAAATACATGTAGGATGTCCACTCTGCAAAATTACTGCTGGCCAGCTCTGGATCCTATGCATATATGATATTATAAATTCTTATAGATTTATTTCCTCTGTGTGCTGGCCAACTGCTTGCTGCTGCACCTCCTTGCTCTGTTTTTTATAACATGACAAATAGGTATTCCACTATAGCTTTTTATGCAGTTCTGGAGTTAGCAAATCATACATTAGTGAAAGATCAGAAAACATAGCCTGAACAAAAGTGGATTTCATTTATATGTATCCAAAACACATCCAAAGATGCCCACAAAATTTCCTATACTGAGAATCAGCAGATAGCTCCACCTCATTTTAAAATGAAGAGATATGTCTAGAACAGTGTAACCCCTGTTTTGGCTTTTCAGTGTTACCTGAGCACCTGTTCCCATATCTATTGCAGATTTTGACGGCAGTCATACCGGTGTAACTGTATAGCCAGCAAGCGTTTTCTTTAATTCATCTTCTCCCTCATATAAAAATAAATTGCAATTTGGATTTTCCCTCCTGACAAACCAGCACAAGTAAAATTAATTTGATGGGAAAAAAGCACAGCAGTTTGAATTGGGAAACAAGATACTTGGCAAAACCATATTTTGAAGAAAAACTTTCCAGAAAATTAAACATAAAACCTTTCATGTCTACTACAGGGCTTGACCTTTCCTTCTTCTCTCCACCTTCTGTGAATAAGTGCTTCTTCCCATCAGTTATAACATGGTAGCTTTAGCTCTGCAGCCTTTACAGCTCCAGGCAGTAATTTCAATGCATGCTTCAGCTTCAACTGGAATTGTTTCATTTACTTTATGGGGTTTTACCTAAATTTTCCACTAGTAAAACTGAAGCTTCTCACAGATCTTGCAGTTGGAGTTACTTGCAGAAAGGAAAGTTAGTCTGGGGGTCTAGTTGGGGAGGCGGGTTCAAGCCCCTTAGCCACACAACTCCACTGTCACTCTGGGCTTTACCTACAAAGGCTGTAGCTGCAAGCAGAAGGAAGCTAATTGCTTGTGCTGGGTCCAGAGAGAGGGGTGCTACGGTGGCTTCACAGTGTGGAGTGTGTGGCTTAGCATATTCAGGGAGAAAAGGGAATCATAACAGGGTCTCCCTCATGTTTTATCCATTAAGTTATAAAGAATACTCCTTTGTGAAACACTGGACAGTAATCTTGCTCAACACTAGCCCATTAGGCAAGGTCAGCTGCCTTGGATGTCAGAGCCAAAGGAAACTTTCCTGTAAGGTCCTGACATTGCCTAGCCTTCACACCCATGTTATCTTCACGATCTCCTATATCACTAGCAGTTCCCTGCCTCAGTTTCTCATAATAACCTCCCCTAGCACCATCCCCTTCCTGGAGATTGTCAATTCTCACCAGCCTGCCACTGGGTGAGCTTGTGTGAGGCATCCTCCTCCTTCCATGGCAAAATCAGCTGGATGAGCTGAGGCACAAGATTAAGCTGCTGCATTAACCCACCTTATTATGCCTATAGTAAAATAGTTTACATTGATGAGTGAGGCTAAAACATGCAGCTGCTCTTCAGAAGGGATGTGACACCTTTTCTGTCTCATCTGAATTCACTGGAAGGGGGGAGTTACCTAAATAGCAGTAACAGCCCCTCAACCATCTCATTTAAACGACTGCTCCAGACTTGATAGAGGCTTAGAAGCCTGAGAGAGACCAAGGCATAGCCGAATTTTGTGACTCCAACATAAGCTGAATTACAATAACAGAACAGCTGCGAATTCTCATACAAGTTTGTTACATGGCAACTAAGGGCATATTATTTATAGTTTTCAGCGATCCTGGAATCCATACCCAGGTTCTGCAAACACAGAAGGCTTGGTCCCTTTCCAAAAACAGAATGGGAACAAAAGTCAGTGAACATGAGGATGGCTGGGAAGAGCTGAGGGTTAAACTAAATCCAGATGCCTCCTAGGAAAATGCAGCATTTCTCTTGAGGCCTCTCTTGACAGTTTTGACAGGTTTATAACAGAGCCAATATAGTTTTGAATAGCAAAATTATCTTCATAACCCCTGCAATGCTTGGGTTACCCTGACAGTCTAGACAGCACAGATGTGTCTGCACTAAGATGGTGATTCTGCCCTCACCTGTAGTACAGCAGCTGTTTTTCCTATTGATGGCTCTTTTATTTTGCTGGTGACTAATGCATCAAGCTGTTGGAAAATTAGCTACGCTCAGCCACTCAGCATTCAATTACGCAGCTCATATCACTATCTGTCTTCCAATTTTTGACCACAGATGCAGCATTTTAGTGGAGGAGAGTCAGACAGATACCATACTCGTATCCATCACTTGACATTAAGTTCTCAGAGTAAAGGCCAAGTCGCCTTGTGAAGTAGTGCCAGCACCAAGAATAGAATTTCTTTGCTCACCATGTCTTCCTTTCAGCACCCTCCTGTGTGTTTTTTTTCCATTAACAGAGTTTGCTTTTTGTTCAGGAAAAGGCTATATCCACCCTCCATCTTTAAGCATGTGTGTGTGTGTTTTCTTTCTCATAACTTCTCCTTGTGAGCTAATGGGCATAATAGTTGCATTAATGAGGTCACACAGAGGCTCAGGCTTTCCAGGCAGTCACAGGCAGACTTGTGAAGAGTACATGTCTGCAGCTGCTTTGGGTGGAAGCATGGATATGCATGCCTAACTCCCTAGACCACTCCACCCCCTCTCCTCACCCACTCACTGGTTACCTGACCTAAAGATTTCCCTGCAAATCCATCTGGCAGGCTGGATTTGTTCTGTTCTTGAGGATGGGAAATAAGCTTTAGATCTACCATGATGTCTTTATCAACAGCAACTGAACCAGGTTCTTTTTTGCATCATCTCAAGACATGTGCAATCAATAGCCTTTTCACTTCTCTGACATGTAACAGGCTTGGGCTAAAGGGCTGATTAAGATCCAGACCATGCTGTTACATACAGAAAGAAAATGTTGTAGAGTATTTGTAAAAATAAACACCATCAGCCAAGCCCACCCTGCAACAAATCATGAGCAGTCTCATAAAGGCCCTTTACAGTCCCTGACGGACATGATGTAAGTGTTGAGTGGCCTGAGCAGCCCCTCCTCAGTCCCTGCCTGTATGCTCTGGAAACGACATGTGCACCCAGTCAGGCACACTCCCTCCCTCTAGAGGGTCTGACACTGCAAGGAAAAAGACAGTGCTGCTTTTCAAACTCGCATCAATACCTGCTATGTGTTGTTCAAAAGCCACCTGGGCAATGCTGCTACCCTTGTGTGCCATAGGAACATTGCAATCACAAGAGATGCATCAGATGGAAAATGAAAGGTAGGGTGATACAATTGTGATTTTCTGGAGGGGAGCTTTAAGGGCATTAGCCACCTCCATTAGAATTACATTTATGTTCCTCTTGACTAGGGTCATAGGGCTACTTATTATAGGACCTCACTGCCTTTGCATGTTGTGGAATATCTAAGACAAAGTAGCAGATAACTAGGAAGCTTGTACTCTTAAGCAGAAACTTTAAAACATCAGAGAAAAAAAGCAGGTTACAGCTACCATTACAAAGCATGGGAAGCGTGTGCCATTAATCCTGTACCTGTATTGTACTGTAAATATATATGAAATTTGACTTCTCAATTTCATTTTATGTATACCTTGGAAGTTTCCTACAGAAACCCTCTCTTCTCCTCCATTTCATAGTCCGTAAGTTAAAAGCCAGCATTCTAAAAATAGTTTCTTTCCTGTTTAGGTCATTTGGTTTTCTCTCCATGGTTTCCATAGGGGCTCTCCTGAAAGGGGAATACAGCAGTGCAATTTGATGCTGAAGGTTATGTTCTATCCTATTATTTCAGAGGCCCTCTAAATATACTCTATCTTACATAAATAAAACAAACTCATGTGAGGAGGAGGATAGTCTCTCACTTACCTTCAGGGTAAAAATAAAAGAATTAAAGATGCATTGTTAAACACACTACCACCATCTGGAAGTAGTTAGCATGGGAAAACAATAAAAAGCCTATCAAAGTTTACAAGGCTAGTTGCCTGCAGTACTCGATTTAGCATCCCCTTTCATTCATTTATTCTACCCACACACAGTGTTAAGTAATTTTAAAATCCAAACAGTTTGGAGAGCTCCTGCAGTTATTTATATGATAAAGCCCAAGATGAGGTTATCATGTTCACCTTGCAGCAACAAATGCCAATTTGCACTCCATAAAGCACTGTACAGTTTGTAGCTGTGCTTGTAGAAGGCTGTAGGGCATCAGCTGTAGGAAGAAAAGTACAGACAGCTAAATTTCTAATATTAGCTGGCACAGGGAAAAAAATATTTCTAAGCACTTCAAATTCAAATGCATTGGTAAGACTTACTTATTTTAAACCAAGACCAAGAGCTTATCATGCTTTTTATGAATTACTACTTTGGTCTTCTCCAATTGCTCTTATGAGCATTCACAGCACATGCAGCCCAAAGCATGCACCACAGAAATTATGTTTGCTCAGGTCCTAAAGACAAGAAAACTACCCTGTTCCCAGAGCAGCCACTGTGCAGGCATAAGTTACAGACATGAATGGTGTGTTTCATCGTATCATATTTGTACAGCAAGGTTGCAGTCTCAGATTTTAGCTGCTTTTGTATTTCCCTTTTAGTAACTCCAGCGATATCTGTGTCTCATACCCTGAAATTATGAAAATCAGAGCTCAAATGTTTTAATTTTTTTTCCTACGTGATTCCACTTGTGTGTGTTAAAGTCACAGCTCCCCCATTACTCCATTTTACAGAATACTCAAAAAACCCCATGTCAATAGTAAAGGCAATTTCAGTCCTTTTTCTACAATGTTAAGCATCCTTTCAGTTCAACTGGTTATATATTTGGACACAGTGCTTGTTCTTACAAGGTGCTGAGTGCTGTGGACCCCATCTAACAAGTTACTTCAGCAGAGCATGTACATACATAAGGGCTTTGAAGCCAGAACACCGAGCACCTTCCAGGATTTAGTTGGTAGTCTATGGCAGATGTATCCTCAAGATGTTTTCTCTGGTAGATATTACTGATATCAAAGAACACAATTCCATATCCTAATTCAGAAATGAAGATACTTTCATAGACAAGTGGCATCTCTGCCTTCTCTTTTTACATTGAGGGCATTTTGTAATGAAAATTTACTTTACCACAGTATGGTGTCCTTCACTGCAAAAACTAGGTAGCTCTCTCTAATCAACAGGTATTTGCTCAAGCAAATATTAGCTCTTCAAAGAGCATCTACATTGGAAGTAGCTGCAGTTATCTCAGTTGCTTTGTGTCAGAGCAAAGCTTTTTGTTTGCTTCTTTTCTATTCCTTGTTCTTTGCACTTCAAGAGACAATAGGTTGAATCCAAAGCTTTTAATTACAGCAAAGCAGCTCCACAAGCAGAATAACTGATTTATTTGGGGATCTAACTCCTAGTTTATTATTTTAAGACATTTTGAAAGCTGTCTTTGATAGTTAATCCTACCTGCTTCAACACCTGGTAGAAGGGCAGGACTATTACTATTACCCAATGATGAAGCTCTCCCAGTTCACAGGACTTCTCTCTAGGTTCAGCAGGCCAGTTTAAACAGGCATATAATGATGCTCTTTACCTGCAACTGACCTTCTTGTGTAACTTTTTCTGGCTGGATCTGTGACTCAGCCTGTTAGACATCATAGCCTAATGTCAATAAATGCTGGAGGGATCAACAGTTACACCTCAGCCACTACATTACAAACCAGAGTTGGCTGTTAGACATAAAATTGCTTCAGCCAAGAATCTGTAGTGCTTTTCTCTTCATGTACCAAGTATCACAGAAGACAGGAAGACAGCAGAGCTAATGAAGCAAAATACTAGCCCAGCTCTTAGAATGGCACAAGAGCTTGAACATAGCAAGACCTCCCCTTGCTCCCCCACCCCAAGGTTCCCACAGCTGTTCAACACTGCTGTGTGGCTCTCCTGCCAAACAGGTGTCCCTGCCTCCCTGAGGGCTGGTAACAAATGACTACTTCAGTTCAATTTGTGCAATGGAAACTGTTTCCATTACAAGCATAAGTGAAACCTATCCAAGCAACTGATTCTGGGATCCCAAAGCACACATGTTTTCACAACCTATACTGACGTAGCCTTAGCCTTTCCATTAAGTTGGTCAGGTCAATGATCTCTTTGTTCCTTAGCTCATGAAACACAGGTTGGCAAACACCACCATCACTAAGGCAGGTACTGCTCTAAAGCCCTGGTTTAGCAGCTTGGATCCAGGTCTGCTCAGAGCCTTAAATTTAAGAGATTATTAGTGAAGGAGAACCACCACAAAAAGCTTACACACACATTCCTTCCTTATGCATAATTTAAATACTGTCAACGCTTCCTTGCAGCCTAGTAATTCCTACATTAATCATTCTGGAAATCAGTTTGGTATTGAACAGAAAAATTGCATCACGTTGTAACAATTTGACCAATCCTAAGCAAAGGCTGCCAGAGGTCTATCAGTTAACTGCACACTGTGACAGATTTTTACATGACCTGGTGTTTTAAGTTGATCATGCATGATCAGGGCATTTCAGCTTTCCATTACATCCCTCACATATGAGAGGACCAGGACAGATAGCTTGAGCTATATTCCAGACTAAGCCTTATGTCAGTTGTTCCTTTAATACATGTTTAGGAACAAAACCTGTATGTTAACATGAATCAGCATGGCAGGTTTGACATTTTCTGGACACTGGTATACCTCAGTCACAAGATACATGACATAGCTCCATCCATCCTTGAAAGAAGGGTCACTGAAGTCCCCTGGGGAATGACAGGTAGGTGTTTGCCCGGGAGGGATACAACAGTCTATCTATGGCAACCAGACTAGCAAAATTCAGTAGTAAGAACTAACTTGACTCTTGAAAACTTGATTAAGCTACAGTTCAAATCATACTATCTGCATTTAGGTTATACTGACTAGCAGTCAGTTTTGCTTATTTAAACAAGTACTTATCTGTATCACAGATACTCAGCATTTTCCATAACAGATGATAGTAGGTTTTTCTCAGGTGTTAAGCTCAACACTGCAAGTGAAGCCTACTCTGGCACTAGTACAGTACTAAACTTGCACCTTGAGTGTTTAGCTTTTATAACCATTTATAGGTATGTTTCTCTCCCTTATGTGACCCAACATAAGCTTTGTTATTCCATTCAAGAATTCAGAGTAGCTGTGCAAACAATGTTTCATTTAAGAAACACTGAGCTCAAATTCCCAGAACTATTCTAGGACTTCCTCCTACACAGACTTCTACTCTTTTAGAACAGGTTTTTCCCCAGATTAAAGCTAACATTCAACTCAATACTTAAAAGCTTCTTTATTTTGCTGTTAGACTTGGGCTTTAAGGACACCTTAAAAATCAGTTACATAAAGATTGATATTGAAAAAAAATATTAAAAAAATGGAGGTGCAGTTCCAGAAACACCCATAGCATCTTCAAATATAAAAATATATCCAAATTATCATCTAGAAAAAAGTGTGCCACCATTGCTGCCTTTAGCTGGTCCTGCCAGCTTTTGGGTCATAACTCCTCATTGCAGAGCTCATATTGGAAGGAACATCTCCAAGGTTCATGTCACAGGCAGGATTCATAGCAAACTGCTTCAGTGCAGCACATGGTCCCAACCTTAAGTTTTTTGAAAGCGTTCCATAGTTCTCCCTTGAGCAGCAGGTAAAAAGCATCCAAACATCTCCTGGGACGCATATGTCATATACACAAAGCCATCTTCATCTTTGTAGTCCCTGTACACTTCTGCCATTGTTAAGGACATACTGGCTAGGCTTTTGTTGTTCACCAGCAGGTAGAAAGCTTGTGTAGCTGTTAAAGCCATCCTGCTTCTAATTGAAGGGAAGAGAAAGAGAGGATTAAGTATTAACAGATTTAATAAGGTTCAATTTCAGTCATAAAATATATTGGAGAGACAAGTTGCATGAATTACATACAAAAAAAATAGCATGTAGAGTCATCAAGTGGTTTAGTGTCTTCATCAGCAGGAAGGTAACTGTATGTTTGGAAGCTGAAAGACTTGTGCTTTGAGGAAAGCCTTACATTGTTAGAACATGAGTGCTATTGAACCTGGGCTTTGAGCTCCCGATTACCAGGGAAAAGCGTTGAGCAGAAACCAAGAACTTCTGCAGCACAGCTAAAGTAAAGGATTCCAGCATGGTCTGTTACATTTATTATGAAGTCTACCTCCAAAAGAAGAGTCCTTTCCAGAGACATTACATAACAGGATCAGGATGTAAGTTGTCCAAGAGCCAAAAGTACCTTTTACACAACTTATCATCTACAAAGATTTTTTCTGTACCTTAAAAAGTGTGTTGGCAAGCACATAGCTTTCGTACTTTGTCAGAGAACATCCCTTAACACTTTGTGAGGCTTCTTCTCTGTAGTGTTTTACTAAGAATAATTTAAAAGCACATTTCAAGCCACTCACACCTAGGAGTTGCTTTGAACCTGAGCAAATTCAGCATAGTGAAGAAGGAGAGCAAGGCAGCAACAGCTGTGAGCAGAACTGAACCACAGAGCCCCTGTGCCAAGTTCATCAGGCAGGAAGAAAGCAGAGCAGGATTCCAATGTAGTCTTTACTCACTACAGTTAGGGGGAAGACAGAAGACTTTATGAATCCAGAAAAGGTTAGACCACGTCTTTTCCCCACAGGCACTTGTGAAAGCATCTGTTGATTTTCTTGCAAGAGAGGGAGGCAATTGCCAACACCTTGATCCTCCTCACCAGCCAAGAAAGCAAGATGCTCCAGCACAGCACTAGACACACCTGCTCAGAGAACAGCAGCAAGCCTCAACTGCAGCAACAGCCCCACAGGAACCCACCACCTACCTTATGATGGTTATGAACTGTGTCATGGTTAGTTCCTCGGGAACAAGAAACTTGGTTTTGTCCAAAAGAGGAAGGTATTTCTCTTTATGGTATCTCTCAACTATTACCTGTGGTAATTAGAGTCATACTTAGAAAACCCCAGACTACCCCGGTCCTTCCCCTCCACCCCTCCCGCACGTCACAGAACGGTTCCCAGCGGTTATCTCTAATTATCAGCATTGACCTCCGAAAATAAAACTGAGATTTACCGGGATTTTTGTTGGGAACTTCGCCCGGATTCCTGCTACTTCTTCCAGCCTGGTGGCTGCGCGGGAGACAGGAGAACGTTACGCGTGCACGCATCCCTCACCTCCGCCCGTCCCCCGCCGTGCACCCGCCACCCCTACCGAAACTCTTCCTCAGCTTGAACGGCCGGACCGGCTGCGCCCCGGGCACCGCCTGCATCCTCCCTCCCGCCGCGGTGCTCCGAAGAACACTACTAGGTACCACCGCCGCAGCGCTGCGCTTCTTATGGGGCCGGGGCAAGGCCCCGCCCCGCCCCGCCGCGCCTGGTGCTGCGGGATGAGCCGCCCGGCTCGGCACTGGGTCTTGTCTCACCACGCATTTTCCCCTCCTCAGCTCGCCACCGGGGGGCAAAGGGAGGAGGAAATGCGCGGCCGGTGAGCCTGCTCTAGTCCCTCCCGACGGCATCCTTTCTATTCCTAAATTACCTAAGGTGAGAGAGATTTTACAGGCAAGGCAGTAAAATACTCTGTGAGAGGAGCTATCCTATGGGGTAGTTGAAGGATGCAGCTTAAGGTTGGAATGTCTCCATCTGTCTTCCCTTTCCAGATGGCTAGTCCTAAAGGTTAGTTACCTTCTTCATATTTACAAACTGCCTCCAAAATACTTCTTTGGTTTTAGGGGAAAAAAACAAACAAAGAGACAAAACCAAACTCATTTGTCATACCCTCAGGCTGCCAGATTGCTTATCTTCTGACTGACTTGGGAGGTGAGTTTTAATTCTATTTTTGTCTCCAAGGCATAGCTGTGATTTTAAGGGTTTCCAAGCAGACTTCAGGTCCATCTGTTTGCCAGATATGATGAGACATTCCCTGCCTTTTTGGCTCTTTGACCTGCTTTTACTTCAGCTGCCAAGATGGCTTTGCAGACAAACAAAATCAGCAAGGAATACAGTTAACCTAGGGCTGGTTGTTGTTTGTGTAAGTCATCTCAGTGGATGCTGGAACTGATCCCCAGTGCTCATTTGTTTTGCTTATCTCTTTAAAATTACAGTCATTTTCATTTTATTTGATCTACCAGGCTATGGGCAACTGGAAGTTGCTATCATTTATGAGTTATGATTTATGAGTTATAGGGTTGTCTGCTTTGTCAAAGCAAAATCAATGACTGTCACCTAAGACCATTTTGAAAGCAAAAGTCTTCATTAAAGTGTTTGTGCAGTACATATGCATATGTCATGATTTTAGACCAACCTTTCCAGAACAGAGTTTCCAGTGATTGAAGTTGTTAGCTCTACTGGGCTATCGTTTCCTCTTGGTCTGAAAGTAATGAGCTTTAGTGACAGCACAAGCTCCCCCATGTGGTACTGCTGTAATGGACCAAAGGGAATTGTCCTGGTTTTACCTGCTTGATGTCCGAAGATGACATTCATAGGAGTCCTGTAAGTCCCTGAACATGAAAGTGCAAATTTGCAGTTTCATACCTTATCTAGTCCAATTTCATTGCTACATACATAGCCTCTTCCCGAGTCCCAGGTTTGCCGCTGTGTAACTGAATTTTGGTATATCCATTTTCTCTATTCTAAAGTGATCCCAGCTTCACGGACCTAACCATATAGAGTCTGGCTCAGAAGAATTTATCAGTTTTCATTGCTTGCCCTGTCTCTTGTCTACTTTGTCATCTCAAATACCTGAATTTTCTGGGAAGTGGGTAAGGAAGTAGGGATAGAGTGATGAAGGGGCTCTAATGTAATGCCTTTTTCTTAGACTATTCTGTTTCATTCATGGTCAGGTTGCTCAGAAAAATGTCTTTATCAGTGTTAGAGAAGAGGCCTGAAGAGTTAGGAAAAGTAAGTGTCCTCAAACTGTTCTTGTTCAGTAGTTATTCTTCATGCAAATCATATAGTCTGTATGGATATGCAAGTCTTCAAGCAAAACATAGGCAGCTCAGAAAAAAAAAAAACCAAGCCTGCTCTGAAGAACTTGAAATCTGAATGTCCCAGGTGAGATAAAACGAGGTAGAAATAATCATGGCAGCTGCAAAAACCCAAGATGCAACGAACACGTGCAACATTGAGAACACCATTTTGGGAGGAGGACTGTGGTACAAACATTAACTGGTTCCACATTTCTGGGGTACAAGCACAGGACCACCCTGCCTCCTACAGAATCAAAAACAAACAGAAAAAGGCAGATACATAAACATCAATATTTTACATGTGATTGTATTCGAAAACTAGAGAATGCCTGACCAGCTGCCTGCTGCATGCTAAAATCACACTTCCAAAGCTTTACAGTAACTGCTGCAAGAAGAAAAACAAAATATAAAGTACAGAGTGCTTAAGCAGAGAGGTACATCTTGCTTCCAAAAAGGTCCAGCCTTGACATACCACAAAGACAGGATAACACCATAACGTTAACCTGTCTGGTGTGACTACTTGCCAATTAGTGGATCTGTAACTTAGTATTTCCTTAAAGAGAAATGTTAAACATTGCTTTGAACGGTGAATTCTTCTTGAGTTTTGTGAATTCTCCTCTGTTCTTTCCTGCTCTGAAGCAAAAGGTTTGAATTACATTACTGCAGCACGTATGAAAGTTTGAATGATGTTGTCTGTGATCTGCTATGGCTTGGGTTGGTTGATTTCAGTTCTGTAAAAACAACAGCAAAAGGTTGTAAAAGATGATGAAGGTTTTGCATCATTGTATTGGAGTCTCTTCCTTCCCTCTGCCAGAGTTTTTGAACACTCAGATGTGTCACAGAGGCATGACATCTCCAAAAGAAGACATCTACTTTTCTCCAAGTGTTGTGTGATTAACAGCACTCCTTTTGGGTGGATCTGTGACCTGTTGTGGAGCTGAGGATCAAGAGCTGCCTGCATTAACCAGAGAACTGAGATGCTCTGATCAGACTACTCAAGCAGTATGTGTGCCTGCTATGAGGCTCTAGCCAAGATTTTGCCTCTTGTAGAAACCATACAGCTAAAATCTTGTAATTTCACTGCATTCTGCCCTCAGAAGCCTCCTGGTGCTCTCTGGTACTCCTGTACCCTCATGGTTTAAAGTGCTGTAAGGTTTAATGAATAGGAGTGATCAAGGGCTCTGACTCTGCTTAGGAAACTGAAGCCATAGTAGTTTAAAACTAACCACCTGGCTGCCTGCCTCTCCTGACAGCTGGAGGCTGCCTCTCCAGCCAGTGCAGTTTGTGCCTGCAGCTTGAGATCTGATCCGGGCTTGGTTAATAAGCAGTACAGTGGCATCAGTGCCTGTCCACTCCTACCACCAGGGCAGTAGCATCCAGCACACTGGTAGAGTGGGGTCAGGGGTGTTTTAAATTGCCAAAGCTTCATCTGCCAGAGCTCAGGAGAAGGCAGGGCTCCCAGACTGAATCTGGACCGAAGCTTGTTAGTCTGTTATGCCAAGCTAGCTGAACAGCGCAGTGCCTAATGAAGGCAAGCCCAGGGGTCAGACTTAGTCAAGAGAAAAAAAATATATGTAAATGTAAAAATGTGGACAGCATTAGAAGTGATTCGTGTTCCAGTGGAAGAAATCTGCTTCACTCTTACATGGTGAAAAGAGCTCTAGTATGTCATAAACTGAGATTGCTTTTTCTTCATAAGTCAGTATGCAGGTGCTACTGAGTTTATTCCAGCGTAGCAAAACTTGGATGACAAATGGGGCTTTGCTCTGGGTATAAATTCCATCCAACATTGAATAATCCTGAACACAATGGATAGGTAAGCAAGAGAGGATGAGGCTCTAAGTGCAGAAGGCACAAACCAGTTAAAATAACGGTTTGAATATGAATGATGCAGTGCTAAAGGAACCAAGATTTATTTATTTAAGCAGCCTAACTGAATAGGAAGAGAAGCTGAAGCATGATGTTCTAGGGAAAAAATGTGACTTGGCGAAATGAAGGCTTATTTGTTGCACTGAGAAAGTGTATGAAGTTCTACAGTATTATGCAGTTATCTTAAATACATGCTTTCATGCGGGTTGTCTGTCAGTGCAAATAAAATAGTCAAGAGGGGTTTGAAAAGCTCTCAAGCAGTCAGACTCAGCCAGACAATTTAATGGGTTTTAAAAGAGCCATGCTGAATATTTTCACGCTCCCTGAACTTGGCTAGTTACAGTAGGGAATCCTTTGCCTTCTTCTTCCCTTCTGAAACTCTAAACCTGTTTGTTTCTTTTCCTGTGTCACAGAAGCAGACCTACACTTGTGGGCAAGCCTGAAGTAATTGTGTGCCGGTAACTAACTCTGAATTCATAAGTCTTTATGCAAAAAAGCTAGCCTGAGTACTCTTATGTTTTAGGGAATGCTCAGTCCTGTATCTCAGATTTATGGTCTGAACTCATCTGCTAATAAGACTCAGATCACAAACTGAGCCTCTCCCAAAATGCTGAGGTAAGTTTGAAATTCCCCAGGAGTATTTCTGGGTTGATTGACTGCATTTATATGTACTTCTGGTTCTTTTCCCTTGTCTTCTGATTTTTTAACCCTAATATTGAACCTAGATCATATCTCATGGCTTTTTTAGCATAGGCACAAGGATCAGAAATTAGTTCTGCTACTTTTAAATGAGAGGCTACACGACTGTTTTGCACCAGACCTTGGGATTCTGAGCTTGAAATGTCTCCTCTGCAAAAGAAATTTCAGTTAGATTAATTTCATCCCTTCTCCTTTAACTGTCCTGCTGGTGTTCATCTCACTGGGATGGGGTCATTTTCTTATGCTAGTTTTTTGGTTTCACGTGCTCTAATCGTGCTTTTCTTGAGAGCTCTGTCTTCCATTTAAAGACTTTGAGACCTCTCTCAACATTACTTCATTAAATTTTCAACAATATTGAGAGCGCTGAGGTACAGTGAGGTATTCTCAGTAGTTTTTAAATTTTTCCACATGCTAAGTGCTTCTGTTCTAAGCATTTGAAATAGAGAAGAATTTGAGACCTAGATTCTCTGTAAATTCTGCAAGTGTTGCTCAAATTGGAGGTTCTAACTACATGTAAAAAGAAAATAAATAAATCAGTGACTCTTTGAGGAAAGCAGACATAAGCTGGCAACCTGTTCATCAGTGTTCCTCCAAGTACATATTTGGTTTTCTGTTTCCTGCTGTACCAATGTTTCACCAGCTTTTTGTCCATACAGGAGCTGAGCTCAAGTCATAGAAAGATGCTAACAAGAGAAAAACATCACTGGATCCTCCTTTCCCATCATTTGCTCTCTAGTTATCATTGCTAAGATGCAATGTATTATGTTTTCTACCTACAGAAGAAACATAATTGATGTTGTTCTTCCTAGCCAATTTC